GAAACAATGACAATGTTTTCCTGAAGGTAAAAACTTTATGGAAGATTTTGACACAGGATTTCTCCTGATGATGCTGATGGAGAGAAGCAGTGGGAAATACAGAGAGGAAAGGAGAGCCAGCAAGTGTGAACGAGTCTTGGAGCGCTGCACACAGCCCAAAAATAAAGCAACAGCACAAAGCATTAAGTTAGAGACTCTATATGGTTTTAGATTTCAAAAGAGTAAAAATGTTTGTGTCAATATGAAGATGAAAGAATGATGGGCTGCCAGTCAAGGTGATTATTTAGAAAAAATAAAATGTTTGTGTAATGAGCTGTGATTAGAATTTTAGTCTTTCCCCTTTTTTCCTCAATCCACTTATTTGAAACGGAACTAGAATTACTGCACTTCGGTTCTATGCCTCAGCCAACCAGTCGGTTTTCACGTACACATTTCCACACGTCTTTTTCCAGATTCATATAGGGTCACTGTGTAATTACTTCATCTTTGAGTCCAAGAGACAACTATTGAAAGTTTGAGAAAATTCCCTCAAATCTGTGATATATCACATTCAAGAGGCCAAAAACATGTTTCTGACCTTGACAACTTAAATCTATTCAGTTAATCAGTGAGTCAAAGTGAACATTTGTGAGGTCACTGTGACCTTGACCTTAGACCTTCAGGCACCAAAATTTAATCATTTCACCTTTGTGTCCAAGTAAGCATTTTAACAATTTTGAAGACATTCCCTCAGGCTGATCTTAAGATATCATGTACAAGAAAAACATAAACAAACTTTGTGAGACCACCTTTACCTTGATCACCAAATTCTAATCGGTTTATCCTTGAGTCCAAGTGGATGTTTGTGCCAAATGTGAAAGGATTCCTTGATAGTATGACAGAGATATCACCCTCACAAACCAAAAGATGTGTTTTTTGTGATGCTAACCTGACCTTGATCTTTGAACATCAAAACCAAATTTAAGGAAATCCCCTCAAGGCATTCTTAAGATATCGCACGGACAACCCGAAAAAAAAAAAAAATGGCTGTCCCAAGCGCAGAGGCATAACAATGTGAAGACCTGAGTAGAAACATAGCAGGTCTTTTGTCTACCTGGCTTTGACAGCCTCTGGTGGCAGAATTCCAGGAACCCAGTGCTCCAGAGGAGAGATGAAGAACCCATCATGGATATGACAGTCTGAGTGCTCCTCTGTCTGGATACCAAGAAACAAACAAACATAAAGCAACTGTGAGAATACAAATAGTAGTTACTGTGTATGGGTAAGAAATGAAGAGATAAAAGATGAAAAACCTTGCTAATGTAGACTGGATAGTCCTCAGGCACAAGAGACTTGCACTTCTCTCTGTCTCCAATAATCTTACGGAACTCAAAGATTCTGCAAAACACAAACAAGGGGGAAATCAGGTTAAAGATCTCTTTATTGCTGCACACAACTAACTTTACTCAGTCCCAGTTTGCACCCCGGTGCGCTCTCCTGTCTGGCTGGCTTTTCACTCTTCTTCCTTTAATCGGTGTGATCACCAAGGAAAGACAACCATGATCTTCAAACAGGGGAGTCATTAGCTAACAGCAATCAGCTGTGCTAATTTACTCCAGCACAGCTGGAGTTGCTCCCCTGAGCCACCTCCACACCCACAATAATAAAATAATCACTCTCTCTCTCGCACTGTATGTAGATCACACTACTACATGGAGCTCAAGCAACGATGGCACTAGGGACAAAATGGTCCCTGCCACCTAAGTTGCGAGAGATCTTTTGTTCTTGTAAAGATGATGATGAAAATTAACATTATTACTGTTAATAATAATAATTAAGGGATACAGACAGGAAGTGGGTAGACAGGGCGAAGTGCTGTTGCTAAAATCAAACACTGCCCTAATAAGTAAGAACATGCACTAACCATGCATTTTGTTGTGTAAAACATTTGAACGAGACCACAAAAATTTCATGTAAACGGAATGATCATTCTTATGGGATATAACTTGTCATGGGTTATACCCCATAAGAACGGATCCTGATAAAATATAGGAAAATATGTAATTTCCTGTTGCCAGTGGGTGGCACTTTAACTTAAACTGAATACTGGGATGTAAAAGTCTTCATGCCAGGAGTCTTATCAAACATTCAACATTTGGGGAAGATTGGACAACCATTGAATTTTAATTGTTGAACAAAATTTGATATGTACATGCAATCATTTACACTCTGTGATGTAACCTTTCAACCTCAGTTATGGTTTTATAACTTATTCCTTTTTCTGTTCATCTTAGCTCTTAATGTACAATACTTCATCTTATATTTCACAATTTGAAATGTAATCTCTCAGTGCAATAATT